GTAAACTCAGAGCTTTTTCAAGCCCAACATTTACAGCACAATAGAAAACATCTGGCCTTTCAGATGACCACTCTAGGCTTACAATAAGCTTTACACTAACCAGCCTGCTATCCTCCAGATGTACAGAGTCACAAATCCATGCTAACTAGGGATTCTATGAGTTGCAGTTCAATACATGAGTTCAGCAGGTTGCAGAAGGTTTCTGTGACAATGTGATGATGAAATTAATGACAACTTCAGTCCAGCTCTTCTGGCTGCAAAACTATAATTGAACTATATAGATAAAACTGGTCTCATGTAGCAGGCACTCTGACATAGTTTAATCAGCTCAGAGTTCCAAATCTAGGTGGAATTGCAGACAATGTCACTTTGACATGGATAAAGGCAGACTGTGGAGCAGGGAAAGTCATCAGTGTGAAACTGAGGGTGATTTGCTGATGATGCGAACATCTCTTTCAGCTTGTCTTAAATTAATAAAATGTAAATTAATTATATTAATTGGTTAATTAATTAAATTGAATTAATTAATTCAGCTTGGCTTAACATAATAATAAAACCCTCCTATAAAGAAAGGAACAAAGTGTTTCCTGATACTCAGTTTTAATCAATAATTAGTTATTAGGTTCCCAGGGAAGCAGTTTAGAGAGGTTTGGCTTTCAGCTCAATTCATAATAGCTGAAGGAATAACTGAAAATCTCAGTTTAATAGTTTGAATTTTAAGCTCCAAGCACATTTCAGTGTTGACTCTCTAGAAGAATCTCTCTTTTTTTAAATAACAGTTAAGTGTTTCCAGATGTGAGTTTACATTCAGACTTTAAAGGAACACTGAAATCTTTGTCTAAGGCAAGAAGGGAGGAGAATGTAAGCTACCCATTTTTGAAATGGCATATATTGAAAAAAAAACTATATAGAACTATAAAAGTGTGCAGCTTCATATGAAGAACATTTTAGAAATATATATCCTCCAGTACATTTCTAGAGTTAAGCCAAAGACCCAGGCATTATGTGACTTGCAGTCTAATCCCAAATGAGCTGGCACTAGCTCACCAGGGTAAGGGGAATCTGCTGGTTGATCCACCACCAGCTGAACAAGTGATTGTTAATCACAGGTGTTCATTTTTTTTTTTAATCATCCATACATCCACAGGAAGAAACTAGATGTGTATACTAAGGATGAGATCTATTCAGCCATCCTTAGCCTGCTGCCTTCTAGATGTTTCTCTACAACTTCCTATAATCTTGTCAACATGGCCTAAATTGGGGCAATCAGTAACTAAAAAAAATCTCTTGGGTTGTGAACATCACATATACATATACCACCACCACCCCAAATGCAAATCCAGAAACAAAATTGGTATATAATGGGAATGAGGCCTGCCAAAAGAACTTGCCATCAGACCATTTTAGTGGACTGCCTTGAAATATCATGTGCTGGGGGGCAATAGGAAAGGGCTTCCTGAAAACATCTGGCCGGATGCTGAAAGGCTAGAAAGATCCTTAGAGTTAGCAAGGACTTTACAGTATATGGGGGTACCCTCCTCTACCCTTCAAAATATTCTTAAGACAGATTGTTTTATATGAATCAATCTAAAAATATACCAAGTGATGTAATAGTCAGGAGAGCCAACAACATAATAGGGAAATGTTCAAGAGAGACATGTTTTTGTCTCTCTGGATGTTTCTTTTAAATGGCAGGAATTGTATGAGGATCACAAATTGTAAGAGTCCAACACTTTACCAGAACCAATTGGTGGTAGCATTAGGGAATTATTACTTACACTCTCTTTTCCCATAGGAATTAAGTTCTACTTTATAGAGGAAACCTCATCATCCTTCCCCAAATCCACAAAATAAACAGATAGAAATAGCAGCAGTTTAGCAAATATGAGTTACTCTTACCACCTTTTGGAGGAGGGGACTGTCTACATATCTCCTGTCTTCCTCGTGCATTGTATTTATTCCAGTTTGGCCACACTACCTTCTTCAGTTTCTAATTGTTTACACTAGCATGATGGCAGAGGGCACAGAGTACTTCTACCAAGGGGATCAAAATAAGTCAAAATTGTAGCACATTAAAAAGGGGCAGGCTTTCAATTGTGCAATTATGGCACCATCTTGACTTTTTTGACCCTCCTGCAGAACCCTCTGGGGTATGAGCACATCATAATGCTCTAATTTCTAGCTTGCAGTGCTGGAGAGAGACTATATTGTCTACTGCATCTGTGAATCCTTAGATTTTTGCAAGAGAATTTTCAAAGTAGGAAGGAACAAAGAGTTTAGTAGCACCATAATGGTATGGTATTCCAGTGGAGTTCTGAACACTGTGCCCAAATTCTTCCTTGCATCAACAAATTGATCTAAAATTGAAAGTAGCTGAAATCATTAACTGTGGCACATGGTACAGGTGCATTTCTTATGTGTTATCAGCAACCAACGTGTTAGGATTCTTACAATTAAATGTTCCAATATCTTGCTACATTTGAAAGTTATTTTTAAAAGTAAATGCACCATGTTCAGGATTCAGCAGAACCGTGTCAACAGTACTGCAACACACCAAAGTCCATATATGACACAAAAAGGTTTGGTTATTGTCTATCTTTGGAACAGAAAGTTGTCATTTTGGAACTGAAGCCCATTTGCACCGCTATGGCACTGATGCATTAAACCCAACCTCAGTGCTCCAAAAACTGGATGCCTCTGTAAGCATTTTGTTGCTTCGGCTTCCTACATGAAGTCTATTTCTGTCCCAAAGGCTCCATTCACTTCTGTTTTGTTTGTTCTCCTTGCTGACACCCAGCTTGAGCCGGCAGTCTCGATCCCTTTAAATGTGTCTGTACGATAAAGCAGAAAAGATCCGAGGACACCTTCTGCAACATGGGATGGTTCTGTATCTTCCCACTTTATTTCACCAAGCCAACCGGGGGTGGGGGGGGGAGGAGAGATTGGGCGAGAGGGAAAGTGCTGCTAAGCACATTACTCAAGAATATATATGCTGTCATTAAAGCCGAGTCACCCACTGATTACAACCTAGTCTTGACCTTGGGTAAAAACATGTTCTTTGCCCAAATATGGTAAGCAGGCAGGAAAATATATTAGAATTAAAGCAGCAACTGCTTACAAGGAAAAAATGCAGGCTACTGCCAAAAGGAAAGAGTTTGAGGCAAAAATCACACAAGTAAGATCATTTTAAAAAAACAGATAAACACAAGGACATTAGGAAAATAATCAGATGTTGCACCAGAAAGCACTATTTATTACTATCTGACAGTGGACAGTGCCAAGGAAGAGAATAAAAATTGACTTCTTAACTGGCACAAAGCACAGGGCTCTCAAGTTCCTACAGTGGAATGAGATATTGAGTTTCCACAAGATTTTGCTTGAAAGAACCAGAGATAAAATGCCTCACGGCACTGCCAGACCTCTGTGTGCCTTCAAAATCTGCTGAGGAATGTCCCACTTTATAATTTTATTTGAACACAGTAATCAACAAAATATTGAAAATAATAAAGCTTGAGAAAAGTAACACTGGCTACACGAAAATGTAATAATAGTTCCAGAGATTTTGGGGTACATATTCCAGAATGGAGGAAAGATAGAAGTCCACCTGCCGTGGAGTCCATTTCCTAGCATCTTGGGTACCTACCTGCAAAGACTCCAATTTAATTCTGCATGCATTTAAATTTCTGGCTTGACCATCACCAGAGTATTTCTACATGGAGTACAAGAATGTTTGCAGTATTCATTTCCTATTACATATGCATCCCAGTCACATTTTGAGGTGGCAGCTGCAGCCAAAGGAAGAAGGATGTCAGTTCAGTTTCCATCTATATGCAGTTCTTGCAGTAGAGTAGGCTGATGCACATAAAAAAGTTAGTTTGAACTGCTATCTCTACACGAACAAAGGGAATTTTGTTGAAGGATATCTAACAAATTTTCCAGGTTCTTCAACATTCTATCTTGGCAGCAACTCACATTAGAACCACCATTTCAATACTTCCTAACACGTCATTAGGTACCTTTCTCTGCTAAAGAATGCCATTAAACTTGCTATCCCTTATGTCCTGTACAGTAGATTGCTGTGAAGTTATCCTGGGCTATGAGAATATTCTATACCTTTCAGAGAAGGAAGGGTTCATAATAAATTGCTTAGTGGGAGAGCAAGTCATTGTCTTTCATTGGACCACTGACTTCTGGTTATAAAAAGTACAATTTAATGAACTCTTCTGTATTTATAATACCGATATCAAGTGTAATACATAAGATAAAGCTCCTTTGCTTGGGCACTTCTCAAGCCCAACTATTAGAAAGGTGGCTTGTTCTGGATGAGACAGTATTCCTTCTGAGGGGAAATATGGGTATCTTGAAGGCTGTACTTGATTCTGGTCTGTCACTAGAGCTCAGTTGATATAAGTGGCAAGGAATCTCATGCCCAGCTTTACTTGCTCAATCAGCTATGACCCAATGTAGACTGGGACAGCCTAGACTCAGTAGTCTCAGTCATAACTAGGGCTTCACTTTCACTTGGAAACAGATTAAATTGTGTATCAGAACTGGCTTTCCAAAGTGTATCATCAATTTGGATCACTTGTCTCCAATCTATCAATATGATGGCTTCTCCCCACCCCCAACTTTCATAGACTAATAGTGAATTAGATGAGCTCAACTTGATGTTTTGACTGGCTTCGATGAACCAAGTCAAATAAATAGTTCAAACTGCAACTGAATCCACAGATCTTTTACTATTTTATTACTAATCTCTTTTGCAATGGACAATGTGCTGGGGTACTGGTGAAGTTAGTCTGGATCCTGCAATGAGTACAGAACACAATCATCCAATTATTAAATAAACAACTAAATAACTCTGGGCCTGAAAGTGCTGGACTGGCTGTCTATAAACTACCAAGTCCAATTTAAGGTGCTGACATTACTCTATAATGCCCTAAATTGCTTAGGATTCAAGTACTTGAAAGACTGCCATGCCCACATCACCTAACCCCCCCAAAATGAAAACATCTCGTTTTAAATCACAACATGCCTATTTACCCAAATGTCTCCAATACATACTGCAATACATTTATTTTTGTACTTAGGATGGATGGTTTTATTGGTTTTAAATTTTATCTAGTTCGCTGTGGCAAGTTTGGAAAGACATAAAAATTAACAATAATTTATGACATACACAGATACTGTATCCGTGCATGTGTATAGACACACACTTACACATACAGACACATATAAATATCAGACTTATCTATTTCATAGTGCAGGCTTGTTTGAATAAAATAAAGTTCCATTACAGTAGAGCTTAATTTTTAGTTTCAGTTCCTTCACTGTTTAACAAATGTACATCTATGTGAAACGAGGAGAGATAATATGGAGCAAGACAGTTCAGTGGTACTACTAAGCAGATGACATCCAATTGTATTGTACCTGTACATCTAAATCTGAGATAACTATTCAAATTCTGGAGACCCAAAGGTGACTTGCCTCCTCACCATCAACCCAGTAGATGGTATTTGCTTCCATGTTTTACCACTTTTCCTAACATAGCCAGCTGTTTTAAGGATAATTTCAAATGTACAGTATGTGATGTGAAAATACATTTGTTATGAAGAAATATATTTACTACCAAAAAAAAAAAAAAAGCAATGTCATCCATAGTAATTTTTGGAGATTAATGCCATGTCTGAAACAGAACTTGATTTCCAACAAGTTGTAGCTATTAAAAGGAAAGTCCGTTACTCAATTTGTCTCAAAAAACAGGAGTAAGAATAAACATCACCAAAATAGTATAAAATCCAAAACAGATGCAAGAAGAGTGTTCTTAGTGAAATCACTGTACTAACAAGTTGAACAGAAATGTAGTAAGTAAATGCTTATCAGGAAAAGCATTTCAAATTGTGCCACTAGGAACTCACAGTGATATTACTGTCAAAAATTCACAGTAGAAATTACTCTGTATAAAACCTGAGATTTGGTTGGAACACAATTTTGTTTTTATAGTAAGAAATAAAAATACAAACTGGTTTTAAAATTTAGAACTTCAGAGTTTACACAGCATTCCAGTTTAACACAACTGAACATTTCTTTTTCTGATACAATACACAATAGATATTAATTTTCTGAAAGAACATGCAATTCCCAGTTGCTAAAAATGGAGCCAGTACTGTATATCTTTTTAAAATGAAATGAGAAACAATATGTTATAAAAAATAACCCACTCTCTATATTCATAGTGTGACAGATCAACTTAATGACATTATCTCAAGGAAAGAAATCCTGTATCTCTGCAGCAACTAGTATCTCAACGGGTTTGGGAAAACCAAATCCAAATTCTTGCCTGCAGCAAGAAGTTGGATTTACAACTGGAAAGGTACTAAATGCTTTAGGATCAATTAACAGTCAGTAATGGAGAGTTAAAGGAATGCATCCATTTGTTCCACAAAATGAAGTATTACTAAAATGTAACTGCATGCCTTAATAGAATAGAATAGAATAGAATAGAATAGAATAGAATAATCCAATTACGATATTATATGTATCTATTCAGTAGGGGAGTATCATGTTCTTTACCTCTGATGACTGAATCTTGAAAAGCTAGTATCTGCATAACAAGAATACTTGGAAGTGATTGTATTTTGGAGTTCTGGAAAATCACATTTATGCTGGGTTTTGGTGGCCTGACCAGCAACCATTCAGCTGCATATTATTTAACTGTTAGGTCTGTATCCTGTCTCTCCTCTAAAAACCCAAGGTGGTAGTATGTAGCACTCCTGTCTCACCACAACCATCCTATGGAATAACTTAGGCTGTGATTCATAAAGTCATTCAATGAATTTATATAGCTGCAAGTAGATTTGAACCTGTGTTTCCAAGGTCCTAAAAATGTTAACAGCTCCAAGAAGAGTTATGCAAATATAAAAGAGTAATTATACAAGAATAAAATTGAAAATATTGTACTTTATTTGCACACACACACACACACACACACACACACAAAGCTGTAACAAGGCACACCAAGCAGAAGAAAAACACACACGTGGATAAACTGGTTACTGTTGGCATACAATATAACTTTTCTTGTATATGCAGCTTTGAAGTTTCTCACCTCACATTCGCTGCCATGGAGAAGAATATACTGTAGCAACTGGTTAAGAAACTAAGAAAACTACTCACTGATACAAGACACATAAGCAAAAACTAAGGGACTCTGTATTCCAACACAAATTTTAGTGCAAACACAGCTAGAACAAAACAAGTTATGTTCTGTCCCCAAAGAAAAAAAGAAAGCAAAAGAGCAAGTTTTCAAAAGTATTTCACTTAAGGAGGAACACAATATGCAAATTATAAAAAAAGGTGCTATACGATTTACAAATACAACTGCTCTGATGCATCAAATAGGAATCAGAGGAAAACAGAAGTGGGAAAGAATATTAATTGTTCTGGATCAGTTTAAGTTATAACTAAGCTCGATGGCATTGCAGATATGTAAAAATACTGTTTTGAAGAAGTAAAAAATCAGAGTGGTAAGCTTTTTAATTTATATTTGACAGGCCACACATATGGAAATAAATTAAATGGTCCACTAAGATCCCAATTAATTTCCTACAAATTGAAGCACATATCCCATATTTGAATAAACTTTTTTCTTTATTACTAGCATCCCCAGAAACAATGCCTTTAACAAATAATGGGCATAGGGTTAGGCTGTTAAGAGTCCCTTTAATTACTAAATGTTATAAGGAAATATAGTAGCCTGTAACAGTACTGTATTTTGAAAAGCAGGAAACCTGGACCAAGGCTGTGTTAGCCTGTTTCATAATCCAGCCCAGATCAAAATGGCCTTGATCACACAGAATCAGAAAAAATAAATCAAATGCAAGATCTAGTACAGATACTCTTGACTGTTGCACTAACGTTCCACAAACCTCTTGAACAGAACTTGCAGATCAGACTAAGAACTTGGGAGTTAATACAAATTCCAACTGTTAATCCTAGAGCAAGATTCAGTTTAATCACTATACTGCAGTGGTTGCTTAATTAGAAGCTATTTTTTTAAATACTAAAATATTAATTTTAAAAACATGCCTTTAGGACCATGGATGAAATGTTTTGCATCTATTAAATGATTAAAGCAGAGTGAAGACGGCCCTGATTAATGAAAACAATACGGTATGGCACACGCCGTATCTGAAGAGGCAATGCCTCTTCGCTGTAATGACAGGGCAACCACATCCAGCCTGGCATCCATCAGACTTGCTAGATTGTAATTCTCATCTATTGCCAATATACCAGGAAGTACTTTTTCCTTCTTTTAGAACTATTACTCTACTTATATGCATTTTTAGCGGATTGAACTGATTCTAGCCACATGATTTATTCATTAAATATTTAATTTGGAGACAACCCTAAAACCAAATACTGGTATAGAACTTCTTAATACACAGGATTTAAAGATGTAGAAATGAGATGTGGCAGTGACTTCCCATTATTCTTCCTCTTAAAACAGATTTGACATCCAAAGTGGCATAGGAGAAAATGAACTGAAAAGTGGCACTTTGCTGAGAATGCAGCTCTACTGAATTAATTTTTGGTATCCAAGTGCTCATATTAATCAAGAAGAAAAAAACTAACAAGCTACTGAATTATGAAACTGAACAGAATTTAAAAGTTAATGCCCAATAGCTGTCTTACATCAATACTACAAGTATTGTAGTAGAAAGTAGACATATTTTGTAACCGGCAAATTATAACCTAAAAATCTGCATGAAAAATGCAATTTTGTGTCCTGTTTATTGTTTCAAGAGGTATTCACAACTAAGTTTGATTAACTGCAGGCTGCATCTGACTCGTAAACACAATAAGCTCAAAATACAATAAAATCTAAACACTGATGTGCTTACTGTAGTATACTGTAACACATACACAAAAAAGCACAATGTGAGCTTATTAGGGATTCTGAACTCTGTTCACTTTGCCTTAATTGGTTCCCGCTCCAGCCATCGCACTCTAACTTTTTGCTTATAATGATATTCCTTCAGAAAGTCCTGCAACATTGTTGGCAAAGGAAGACAATCAATCCCATCATATGAAGTGTACCTGCAAATTACTGCCCGGCAGATATACTGCAAGCTGAAAGGAAAAGTCCTATTTAGGGAAACTGTAAGTAGCGGTTCAAAAAACATGCAAGAAATAGGATCCTTGTAGTGTTCCAGAAGCCCTGTTACAGTGGAGGAGTGGAACACACAAGGATCGTGAGCATCAAAACTGAAGTTGTGATTCCACTGCTCAATGCGTGCATGTAAAGACCGATTATAGCGACGGAAGCTCACGGAGAAGAGGTAGTCTTCTTGAGCAGAGTCCCTGAGCAAAAAAGTGCCTTCAGGTTTTCCTTCTAGAAGTGCTTCTGCTTCGTAACGGTCCATCACGCCCCAGTAGCATGGATTACTGGTAATTTGAAGTAAGTCTGGAACTAGGCAGTGAATATAATCAATCTGAGTATGTACTTTCCAAGCACCTTGTCTGGTGATGTGGCTATGGCTCTCTCCAGATATTTGGCGCTGCTTTTGTCTACGTGACTGCAAACAGAGAGTAGTTGTGTCTTCCTCCAAATCACAACTTCCTTGTGTTGTTGAATTGCAGTCTCCCATCAGTTCAGACATGCCAGGGGGCAGCTTTGGCCCTAGTTTATATAATGGATTAACTTGTGCAGTAGCTTCAAAAGTATGTATCTGGGCATTGGGAGGAGGATCCACCCCTTCTTCTATACTGAGCCTTCGTCTCTCTCTCAGTCTGTCTTCCTCATCTTCTGTAGAAGCCAAGGAGGAGTCAAATGCATCAAAAATAGCAGAGTGTGGGCTCACGGGAGCTGTGTGCTGCTTAATTAAATGCCACTTTTGGGCCAGATCTGACCCAGCAGGAAAAGGACATTTTTCTAACATTAGTTCAGAAAGATGGATCTTCCTTTTGTTGGAAAAGAGAGGTTTAGATTGTTTGCAGTATGTTCTCATAGGGAAACATAAGCCTACTGTATCCTGCAGTCTTTGCCTCAGAGAACGACTTCCTATGGTTCTGCTTGAGATGCTATCAGTATCGTTAACTGAGCTCACACCGTATCTTCTTTCCCTCCTTTGCAAGTGAGAACAGCCAAACCTTTTATCACTTTCCAAAGAGCTCTGGGTTTTTGTAGAGCAGGAATGCTTCTTTTTCCCACCCCATGGGGCATGCCGTGAGTAGGAATCCCTTCGTGCAAATTTAGCTCCTGAGGCAACATTCAAGTCAAGCTCTTTCTCAATGCTTATTTCCACAATCTGAGGGATTTCTGTGGCACAATTTTGATTCTTCCTTGAAAAGCTTTTTGAAGTACTTAGATTCAGTTGCAAAGGGCTGCTAGGTTGCTGCTGAGTTGGACCAGGCACACAAACACTTTTATCTCTAACAGATGCACTATTGGAATTTATGTCTACATTTTCATTTCTATTTCCACCTTCAGGATTAAAGAGACTTTGGCATCTGTACTTGAAGCTGTTCCACATTTTCCCAACTTTACCCATGGATTATGTTACCTACATTTCAAAGACAGAAACACAATTAATTTAGTAAAGTCACTTATTGAATAAAGAATAAATAGCTGAACACTTAATTCATGAATAAAATGAAAGTGTGATATTAATCCATCTCACTTTCAGTTTATAACATAAGCATCAATAAAAGATTAAGCAACTGTGAAATAATTGTGTTACTTTAATACAAACCAGCTATATTCCTTTAATTGCCAAGAACACTAATTTTGGTTTTTTCTCTCCCAGTGTTCCATGCTTTACCATTCTTTTTATATGCCCAATACATTACTGTAAATAAATAGATAAATAATTCCAAATGCATGTAGGTTTACATTTTAAATTGACTTGAAACGTATCAATAGAAGAGAATATATGTAGCTCAAGATTGAATTGTGGAGTCCTTGGGGTTCTCCAAGCTTGGTTGTTTTCTTGCAGACGTTCCGTTACCTGACTAGGTAACACCTTCAGTGCTAGAAGGGAGTGGGGTTGTAATTTAACTGTAACCAAGCTCAGAGACCCCAAGGACTCAAAACATCATAAGGACCATAGGAAAAAATGCCTCTGACCTGGTATACAGCATTTACTTGCAAGTACCCAACATTTTATTGCAGAAAAGGGTTAATAATTACAGTAAGGAGCAGCACTAATTGTACACATGCCCAGCTAGCCAATATCTGCTTCAATCAGATATATAAATATCATGTTGGCCAGGTAGACACAAGATCTGTATTACCATTGTCCCTGTCAATTTCTGGGTGACCATGGCAGGAAGTTCCCAAATGACAGGAGGAGGAGGACTTTAGTTTAAATGGCCAAGCTTAACTTCACTACTGAAGTGCCGTTGGTTTTCATTTAATATGCAGTCTAAGGTGAGTACTTTCCAGATGAATGCATGATTTCAAGTTATGCAATGAAGCACTGCATTCTCCCACAAGAGCTTTAGCATGCCATAGAGCTTAGATGTGACAGAGCTTGCCATGTGTGTGCTTGTGTAAGATTTAGCCTGAGAAACCAACACTGATGCCTCAGTACTTTCTTTTTACTAATAATGACACAAATACTGATGCTATAGATTCAGTATAAAAATATGGTCACATACTTTCAGGAATTACCATGTTTAACCACAGCTATTAAACATATTGGAGTTGAATTTTCAGTTTGATTTCAAGGGTAAAGGATACATCTGTAACAAAAATATTCAAAATAATATTTAGGTTGAGTACTTTTTTTTAAAGTAGTCCATTCACTTGACATGTTATTAACAAAATATTTCATACTAATGAACTACAAAATCTTCTATTAAAAATAATTTTAGACAAATCTGGATCCCTGGACATTTTAAAAAGCTCCCTGAAAACCCACTGGTGGAGCTGAAATGCCAAAATCTGCAATATTCCTAAAAGGTAACTCTTAGCAAAACACTGTAAAAAGAGTTCTATTCATCTGCAAGTGCATTAAAACAAGAATTCTGAACGATGACCCACAAAGTGGTTGGTGATCTGAGGAGTTGGCTGATCATTTGAGCTGGCTGCCTGCTTTTTCCCCCAGCTGCTGCTTAACATCAAAAGGCTACTAAATATATACCTCTTTTCTAATATTAGTTTTCCAGGTAAGTAATTCTTATGGTTGCCATTAAAATGATACAACACTTTCAAAGACCAGAGTTTATTTTCAGTTCCCTAGTATTATTAGCTTGCTTTTAGACAATTATTTGACAGACACTAATCAACTACAGTACTTTGTTTAAGACCAACCTACAGTATTAATATACCATGCACACTAACAATGTGCTCCTGTATCCCATGTGACATTGATTAATATGTTTGATCTAAGGAGCAAATAGGAAAGAAAATGATACACATTTCCTACTACTCTATTTTAGTTGCTTATTCTATCAGAGATTTTGTTCGTGAAACATTGAAATATAAAGAATTGGGCCTGAATGTTTCCAATTTCTTCAATTGCAACTTGAAAGGCAATATTCATTACGATGCTAACTAAACAGTCTTCCTATTCTACCTCAAGCCCTAACACTTAACAATTCTTTAACATCACCTTTAATTAATACCAGTTCTCCATCCCTTACATTTAATTACTCTCTGAGTAATGAGAACTTGGGAAACTTTCTCCAATTCACACAGTTTAGTTGAATAAGAGAAAACAGAAAAAAAATTGCCTAAGGCCCAACATATCAACAAAAGACCCAAAATGAAATGGAGGATATACAAGCATAATACAGTGAAAAAATGGCACCTCCTATGCTACTGTCAATTGACAGTGGTCCACAATTTCTCTATTTATACTCAACATGACAATGAAGAGTGGAAATCATTCAGACAATTGCTCTTCCTTGTCTCCTTACCCCTTTTGTTGCTTGGTCACCTTTCCAATTCAAGCCTTCTTCCATCATCTGGCTCACCTCCAGACCACTTCTGGCCATTTTTTAACCTCCTCCCACTACACTAAGTCACTCCCAATTCTCCCAAGGTAATCATGATGTCATCCCCATATCTCCATTCTTATAAGCAACAGAAATGGTGCTATTTGTTCCATTTCGATTTGGGTTGCTTGCCAAACTTCAAAATGAAATTGTTATTTCCAGCTGCCCATCACTTTTACTTCCCAATAATGTCTCTGAATACACGTGGCACCATGTGTTCTGAGAAATCAAGGCTAGCGTTTCATTTTGGAAAAATCCTCCATTCAGTCACAACTACTATGACTGAAAATAAAATAAGATAGGCATACCATACATGAAATGCCAGGATAATTCTGGGTGGGATTGGGAAGGAGTCCCTCTGTGCATTATGTTTTCTACTGCCAATTTATGGAATATTTAGGGTCCCCTATAAAGTGAACCAGAGATATAAGTAAGAGGAAGAAATTATTTCCTTTGCTATACCCATTCTTCGAAGTTGCCATATTCATTTATAGCGGTACTCAGCAACTCCACTTGTTTAAGGCAGCAGAGTTGCATTATTTTCCAAACTATGCATAAAAGAAATCAAAGAGCTATGAATTAATTACTAAGCAGTTCAACTATCAAATGTTTCATGACCATACATACGCAGGCAAAAAGGTAGCATCTAAGGCTCAAACAAAGCCAACTTTAGATGATAGCCAAAATATACATAATGAATATGGTTCTCCCTGACCACATTTAAAACAAGAAAGCCATGAGAAGCTGGAATCAGGTACCAAAGAGCCACTGCAAAATAATCTTTGTCCTTGTTTCTATCCCAAGAATGGGGCCTTCAGGCTGCTTCATATGAGAAAGAACACCAACTGCAAAGCAATAGTAATTATTCAAGGTAACAGAAATACCTAATACTTAAACTAAGCTACAAGTAAATTTAACATTATGGTCCTGAACCTGCTTACCTAAGAGTAAGCCTTACATAACTTAAAGGGATACATTTCTGAACATGAATGCACAGAATTATTTTGTTAATTCAAACATAATGAGCAAACAAACCTTTTTGAATGTGTATTCACAGGGCAGCTTTATTAAGCTCAACAAATTTCCAGGTAAATGTATATTGGACTGCATCCACAATCTATTTTATTGATGAAATCATCATATGAATGCAGTGAAGAATTACAAACTATTCTCTTCTCATTGCTAAAAAAAGGGGAAAAGTTGTACGATTTGTATGAATGAGAAAGAATAGGGAGAATCAATTAATTTTAGAATAACTCAATTTCCAGGTAATTAATTTTAAATATTAGTTACTTCTATTTTTCTTTGGTCCTGCCCTCCCTTTTGTGGGTGTGTGTTCTGGTTGATATAAGTATACACATACCTAATATACAGACACAAAAATGTGCCAATGTGGCCCATCTGCACTTTTATTGTGGAAAGAGAAATTTACAAGGGTGATTTCAGCCAGTGTTGACAATCTTAAGGAACTAAAGCATTACAACCTTAGGGAAGCTGGGCATTACTAAGGACTATGCCTGTTTTATTTTTTCCTTTTGGATGGGGAGCTCACATATTTTGAAAAAAATGCACCACCATCAGTCATCATCTTTACTTCCAAGAATACCTCTGGGTCCCACATAAACTAGTAGCTTGTTACAGTATTATACAACTCTGCCTGAAAAAAAATCAAAATAAGTGATGTAGTAAACAGTATCTTGCAGATTCCAGAGGGAATGCATGAATCTGATTCCTGATAAATGGATATAGATCACCTTCATCTGTACAGCGAACGAAAATACTGAATAGGGTTGTGACAGTATTTGTACAATAAATCTTCAATTTAATGGACTCAGTATAGCAGACTTTGGATCAATGACAAAATCTGTCCATACACAGTATGCTTCAGTGCATGCATAAAATCTGGTTCAAATGTAAACGACTTGCTGCTTTAACAAACACCCCTTCCCTTTATTAAATGTTAAATTGAGGATTTACTGTATTTCTTCCTGAAATCACATGTGTATCTGTTTGTAATCAAATGGTTGAACCCACAGGGTGGAAGGCTGGAGGATTCCAGAAGGCCCTCTAGTCTTCACACCTTGGACCTGCCTCATGTTTTGGGGTAATGGCTAGGTTGTTCCCACTGTACTACTTACCCTGTAGGGATTGCCTCCCTCTAATCCTGATGTGTGGGTGGGCAAGGACTCTCACATCCTGCACTGCCTAATAATGACAAGGTGAACTTTTTTTAAAAAAGGAATAATTTCTATAATGATTTTCCTTAGCTATATAGCTTACAAGCATGTGACTACAGGTTTCAGCCCTTCTTTCCTTATATAATTAAATAAATAAATAGCCTTTCTAATCTTACTTGAATTTAACCCAATTTTCTGAAGCAACAGTTCCTTTGCTTCACTTACTTCCAGTTTTTGGGGTAGACTTCATTTTAATCAGAGGTTGCAGAGGAAACAGTAAACTCCAATCCTACCTAGTCTGTCTTTCTGGGCTTATTCCAGATAAACTATACTTTCTTCTTAAAAACACTATCTCTAGCAGAGGGGGAACTGGGGGAACAGGGATA